TTCAACGCACTATCAACGAGATTTTGCCGTGTTGAAAGACAACATTATGAAAGGTTGTGCTAGTCTTTCCGCTGCTGATTACATAAATTAAGGTAAAACATGTAAGGATGGATGTTAGATCTTATGTTAGAGTTAAATTTATAAAATCTAAGAATAACGAATTTATAAAATTTTAAGGATAAAAATAAATTATTAATAGAATATATAAAGAAATTATATAAAATATATGAAAATTTAAATTTTTTAGATAAATTACTATCCCACCTACCCCTTTAATTTATCCTTGAAAAGATCAACCATGTCCACATTTTCTGGTTTCATCTAAAATCCATTTTATGTTATATTCATTTTAAGAATGTTGTCAATGGCACATCTTTTGGTAACATTACAAATCAACATATGTTGTAATATATATATATATATATATACACTCACCTAATGTAAAACTCTTTAATTTTTATGCATATTTGAAATCGTTGGATGAGTGAAAATAGTTTATTGAGATTAACTCTTTGTTTTTTTTTTCAGTGAACATCTTTTTATTTTCTACTGTTAATCTCAACCATCTATTTTCACTCATCCAACAACTCTACATTTGTATAAAACTAAAAGAGTTTTACATTATGTAATGAGATCTTATTAAAAAATGGTTATCCATTGTTCCCATATGTAATGGGGTAAGGAGGAGGTAAGATAGTAGGCTGCCCCAACACTAGGTTGAGAACAGCTTCCGTAGGAGACCTCCAAATTATGAGATGCCCTCCATGGGACTCGATCCCAAGAACCTCAAGGTTAATGAGATCTTATTTATATATATATATATATATAACGGGAGTTTCAAATGTTGATTTTGATAACTCATGAATATTCTAGAGTGAATATAATCACTAAAATCATGTTTCTCATTGTCTCTCTCTATTCGTTGTTGTTCATATGTATGTATTGTGGTTTCTTAAAGCCCAAATGACATAGCTGATTAATTAATCCCAAAATGTAATTCCTCCAATTATACATTACATGCATGAACGAATGAGAAGCAGGTGGTGAAAAGTTTATATATAAAACAATAATAATTTAGGTGGGAAAAGATGGACGTGGCCATCTGCAGTCAATAAATTAAAAATAGAGATACAAGGCCATGGTTGGTATGAAAGATAAGTGTTGATGGCCCACGAAAAAAGGTTCTCATCAATCCAAAAAAAAATTGGTGTTAAGGATGGAACTAAGTCTTCCAGGCAGCCGAAGGCTGTGCTGGCATCATTTGAATGGCAATACGACCATACATAGTTACAGATACATCATGCATGAGCAGCAGCCATCCTTTGCTTCAGGGCAATGGCGAGAGAGAGAGAGATATGATTGATTGGCAACCCTTCTTTTGTCAAATCACTTCATTTGTCGCTGCCCCTATATTTCTGACCAATCACTTCATTTGAACTCTTCAAACTGTGTTTTATTGTTTTAATGGAATATCAATGTTGATTGACTGCAGTCATTTGATGAAATGGCATTTGTTTTGGGGGTACTAATTAACAGCCATGAGATAATTTGTGTAAGCAAGTGTGGTTGACTTCGGATATTGGGGTTTGTAAAAAGGTTGGGACCCTACTCAGAAATTAACTACACACGGATTGGCCATTCAGATTCATACATTTGATTGACGGGTACAAGGAGAAGACCAAGATAGATGAAAACGTGGGCAGGGGGAGATCACATCTGTCCCTCGTGCTTATATTAGACTGAAATTGGCCCCCCATTTTACGATTCCTTTTTCTTTAAATAAAAAACGTGTCAAAGACCATTTCATGCATATCATGCGCATTGCACGTGATTGCTTTAAAATAATAAATATATAGGTAGAATTATTCATATTAATTTGTTATATGTTAGTCGAATTATTTTAAAATTGTAGTTTACCTAAACAATTATAAAATTATAGCAGTCAATAATAAAAAGATGGTTTCACACGTTATTATAAAAATGATAAAAGGAAAACAATAACAATGTTATACCTAATAACGTAAATCAATAAAAATGGACTTCTAAAGAAATATTTTAGTTTCAAAATTTCATTCTTAATTTATGTCTTGAACAAATACATAGTATATATGTAATAATGTAATGGGCCGTACACTCACGTAATGTATTTACTTGGGGTTGAGTAAAACTCGATTTGAAAAATCGATTTTTCGACTCGATTCAAATCGACTTCGAGTTGTAATTTCATAAACTCGACTCGAAAAAATTTCAAGTTTAAACCGAGTTATAAAATACAACTCGAATAACTAAAGTTTTTTAGTGATCAGCGGATTGATTTTCAAGTTTGAGTCGAGTCCATTTAAATTTTTAAGTGATCAGTGAAAAAATATATATGTATTGTATATGGTTATAACAAACCATTTAAATTGTAATCAAATAATATCATAATATTATAAATATTTATAACCAAATTTAAACAGAAACTTAAAAACTTGATACGACTCGAACTTAATAAACTCGACCAGATTCGAAAAAATTTCAAGTTATAGTTAAGTTATAAAATAGGAACCATTAATTCGAATAACTCAAAATTTTTTTACTCGACTCCACTCGATTTCTCATCCCTATTTGCTTCTACCCTGCATTAAAAAAACTGAAACGTCCACAACCTGACTAACCATTACTGGAAAACATTTTCCCACCCAAGGCTTTGGTCAAAATGTATTTGAGTTGAATATGGGGATGCAATGGAAAGTGGGAAGTACATGAAAATTTTCCCATTTCCTTTGATTTCGTGTTCTCGTTTTTTTTCTTTCTAAAATTTGAATTGGTAGCAGTAATTCAATTTCATTTTCGACTGTATAACGACCGTTTTGGACACCGCATTACTTAAGAAACAGAATACTGCTCATATTTCAAAGGTCACCCGAGGTTTGGTTCTAGTAAGCATCCAAAAATAAAGTTTGGTGTTAGGTTTAGGGTTAACCAAATTGATAGTCTGGCGTTGAGATGAGGATTTGGAGTTTTAATTCCACGCCACAAAACGTCTCAAGATTCTTGTTATTTTATATGTGAAGTCTTCATGATTAGAAACCTTTCTTTCTCCTAAGTGGTTGCTTAACGGTCCACGTCATCAAATACAAGTGTCCCAGCTCATGGGAATTTCTCAGGAGCCTCGTGGGGGTTGACCATTAAGCGTTTGCAGCAGCAAACAAACCAAAAGCAAATTAAATTGAAGGCTCATCAGCTCTAACATTAAAGCGAAAGCAGCAGTTTAACTAACGCCAACGGCGTTTGGTGTCTTTGATTTCGACCGGAAATTTCTCACTATTTTGTTTATTTAATCTGGATTTATATATAAAAAAATATTTAAAATCTTAGAAGACGGCAGAACAAGATTTTCGGGTCAAATTATATTTTTATTATTGCAGTAACTTCTAATCATATATTTTTAAAAGGGTTATTAAATTGAAATTTTAATATTTAGGAGTGCCATTATACAATTTTACATTACACTATATTATAATTTTACAATTTTGAAAATATTTAATTGTAAATTTACCCATATTTTGAGAGCCAAAACTCTTCCGTGCCTTGCACCGCCCCTGCCTCCACAAAATGTTCTAATTGTTAGATGATTGAAATGGTATTAGCCACCTTACTCCTGTTTAACGCAATCGAATCCCTTCTCCCCTTTTAAATGAAGTTCTCACCCCCAAAACGCACATGCTTTGTCTTTGCTCGCCTTTTAACCCGCACAAAATTGTTAGTAAACATGTTTTTCTTACGTGAGTATGACAGACTTGGATAAAAATCTCAAAACCACTAATACAAAATTCAGGTGCTAAGTTGCCCAAAAAGATATAAACTGATAAACACACTAACACAACGCTTTAAATGACAAATATCATCCATTCAACTTATGGTTCACACATTTTCCATTCTGGCAAATGTGGATTAAGATGGAGCTGTAAACCTTGCATTAGAGGTAATTAGAGGGTCAATATCACCGAATTAACCTATAATTGGAAACCCCAATCCAAAATAAGAGAGGGAGGTACAACTGAGGTGGGCTAGGTTTCCCTCTCGGGAAGTGGCCACTGGATTCTAATTGGATGGTTGGATCTGCCAAATTCATGTGCTGTACATATCAGACACCATGGGGGGACCTCTTTGGGACCCTAATTTCCTTAAGGGTCTTCAATGTTGCATCAATGTTTACATTTTTCATGTTTTGTACTATCCACGCCCAATCTATCGACTCTACAATGTTTGTTTTTTACTATTATAGTAAGACTCTTTTAGGATTTTTTTTCTCTTGTAGTTTGAGGGGAGGAACTATTGTTCGAATTCAAGATTTTGTTTTAAGAAGAACCAACTCCTTATAATTAATAAAAAGAAGTCTTTTTCGGTTGCATAGAGTTAGTCTTGGTGAATTTGTCCTCTACTGCTCATTCTTTGTTCTAGCAAATTAAATTTGGACACTAGATGTGACCCTAAATATAAATGTGACCCTAAATAATAGGCAAAAGGTTTTTTTTATCCAACGAATATCAGAATTTAGAGAGGGGAATAAGCAAAAGATGCAAAATTATAAATCAAACAATCAAACACTGACCAAATATAAGCAAGTGGTCTGTGAAGGAAAGGAAAAACACACAATGATAACGCGATCGCTGAACATATATGTGACAGGGGGAGGGTAGCCAGTTGGATCATATGGCATCTTTCAGAGCTAAGGTCCTCACTGATTCCGTGGCTAAAACGAACGATTTCAGCTATTAGTAGGAAGGAGACCAGGAGAGGATGGAATAGTATTCAAATCCAATTTCATTTTTGTTTATATTACTTGGCATACATGTAACAAGTGATCTGATTGGTACACGTGGTATCCATAAAATAAGAGCATCCTCTCCCCAATTCTGCTACGACTCTCTCTCTCTCTCTCTCTCTCTCTCTCTGTCCTGTTCATCTCCGGATTCTTCACTCAAATCCGTCCTATATATTGTCAATTTGTCGTGCACACCTTCACAGGGTTTGATGGTGGAGATCCCACAATCACCATTACTTCATTGTCTCATCCCATTCCAATTCAATCTCTCTCTCTCTCTGGAAAAATATCTTTGCTGCAACCCTCATGTCTGCCACTTTCACTGCTTTCCATTTCCCTCAACTTACTCCTTCATCTTGTCATGGTTTTTTGTTGTCCCTCCATGATCATCATTCTTGTACAAACAAAATGGGAAGTTTTGGCTTCGCCTTTTTTCTACTTGTTTTCCTTTCTTAGTGACCTATTAGCGGCTCAAGCTCGTGCATTCACTACTTTAATCATTTCAGGGGCAAATTGAGTGAGAGATATCATAAAAGGGAGACCAACCCTGTGTCCTCCTTCGGCCTCATCACAAGTTTTCTATATATAACCATTCCTTCAGAGACTTTTTTTTAACACTGCTCGGAAGTTTAACACAGAGCCTCCCTTGTAAATGAGTCAAAATGATGTCGTTTTCCTGTACGAAAAACTTCTTCCAACGGTTCTGCATCGATGAATTTCACATGGGCAGTGATATTCATGGCAGTTGTTTCTCCAGTGGTCTCCTTCCATCACTTGGCGCCAGAATTAACCATTCGACAAAGCTACGTGCACACATAATATCCCCTTTCAACCCTCATTATAGGTGATGCCAGTTTACATGGTTTTACTTCTTCGAATATATTAAAACTGGTCTTTATGGTCCTATTCCTTATTGTAACAGGTCTTGGGAGATATGGCTGGTTGTGCTTGTCATTTACTCTGCCTGGGTTTGTCCATTCGAGTTTGCATTCCTATCGTACAAGACCGATGAACTTCACATTGTTGACAACATTGTCAATGGATTCTTTGCTGTTGACATCGTTCTCACTTTCTTTGTTGCATATCTCGATAACCACACTTATCTCCTTGTTGATGACCCCAAGAAGATTGCCATCAGGTAAATAAGATCTTGCAGCATTTAATCACAAAGCTTTTTCTCTCAGTCTCAACAATGTTCCTCAACTATTTGAACAATACATGTAGGTACATATCAACCTGGTTCGCTTTAGATGTCTGTTCCACTGCCCCATTTCAGTCTCTCAGCCTCATGTTCACAGACCATGGCAGTGAACTCGGGCTCAGGCTACTCAACATGCTCAGACTCTGGCGTCTGAGACGAGTTAGCTCCCTGTTTGCAAGGTTTATAATTGTTTTCTTTTTCAAAAAGCTTAATGCCTGAAAACTGTTACTATGGTAGAGCTACAACATTGACTCACTGGTTTCCTCTCCTTCAGACTCGAGAAAGACATTCGGTTCAACTACTTCTGGACTCGGTGCACCAAGCTCGTATCGGTAACCCCATTGAAACTCAGCTCTATTAGAAGTATTGCTTTCAGTCATTTGAAAAAAGGGGTTATTGGGGTTGATTTCAGGTGACCCTGTTTGCAGTACATTGTGCTGGATGCTTTAACTATCTGATTGCAGATAGATACCCTGATCCTTCAAGAACATGGATTGGTGCAGTGTACCCAAATTTCAAACAGCACAGTCTGTGGGATAGATATGTAACTTCAATTTACTGGTCCATTACAACGCTCACCACAACTGGTTATGGGGACTTACATGCTGAGAATCCAAGAGAGATGCTGTTTTATATCTTTTACATGTTCTTTAATTTGGGATTAACAGCTTACCTCATTGGGAACATGACTAACCTGGTAGTTCACTGGACAAGCCGGACCCGTAATTTTGTAAGTTAGCCTTGCAACTTTCAAGCTGTTAGAAATCATCGTTAACCTGCCACTGGAACTAAATATAGAATAAAATATGTTCTAAAGTGACCACAAGAATTATGCATCACAATCAACAAAACTAGAAATAGCCCCACCATTTGCTGTAGAAATGTCCGTTATTTTAGGGCAGTTTTGTAGCAGGTGATTTGAGCCTGACAAGTTATTCAACAGTTTTTCCCCTTTTGACAAGGATGTCATCACTAGCCTGGAAGTGCTAATTAACAAGAAACCTCGACCTTTTGTTTTTGGTGCTACAGAGGGATACAGTTAGAGCCGCTTCAGAATTTGTGACACGAAATCAGTTGCCACCCCACATACAAGATCAAATGTTGTCACGCATATGCTTACGCTTTAAAACAGAAGGACTGAAGCAGCAAGATACCTTAAATAGTTTACCGAAAGCCATTCGGTCAAGCATCGCGCAGCATCTCTTCCTCCACATTGTACAGAAAGCCCATCTCTTCCAAGGAGTTTCTCATGACTTCCTATCTCAGTTGGTAACATCATCCTCTCTATGAGGCAAATAATACATCACTTCGAATTTTCATTTGCAGATGCTAATACAAGTTACTACTCTGTCGACAGGTTTCGGAAATGGATGCGGAGTATTTTCCACCCAAAGAAGATGTCATTCTGCAGAACGAAGCCCCAACAGATCTCTATATACTGGTCTCAGGAGCAGTTGTAAGTAGGCTTATTTTGATAAGTGAAGAATAATATAAACTAAACAATGCCAATTCCTAACATTAGTTTGACGTCCGGTTGATTCGCGATTGCAGATTTTAATCTCACATGATGATGGACATGATCAGATTATGGAAAAGGTGGCTACAGGGGATATGTTTGGAGAGGTTGGAGTTCTGTGTTATAGGCCACAGCCATACACAGCTAGGACAACTGAGCTTTGTCAAATACTACGAATGAACGCTACTTCTCTAATGAACATCATCAAAGTGAATACGGAAGATGGAAGTGTTATTATGCGTAACCTTTGCATGGTAAACATCATATTAGACAACTTTCTGGATTGATGGTTTTGATGTTAGTATGAAGAAGTGATGGTTTTTTCTTGCAGAAACTAAATGGGCGACACAGCAGCAGCTTTGACCAGTCCAGCCTAGATCCTGGGCTTGGACAAGGAGCAATGGGAAGAGGACCAAGTGTGAACAAACCAGATGCAAGAGCAAGGACGCCAAAAGCATTGTCAGAGCACGAGGGAAACAACAAAAAAATAGATGAACATAGAATAGAAATCATTGGGCCAAAAACAGCAGATGACCCCAAGAACAGTAAAAAAAAGCATAGAATCTGGGCCCAAAATTTCTTCAATTCACCCAGTTATAGGGAGCTAACAATACCTACCAAGAAAAGAGTTACTATTCACATGCAGTTAAAGAGCAGCAGTACATCATGTAGGCAACTTGGAAAGCTGATACTCCTACCTGAATCAATACAAGAGCTGCTCAAAATAGCTGGTAAGTGGGAAAAAAAGTATCCTAGTTGATAAAACGAAAGAAAAGCAAAAGAAACAAATATAAAGGATTTTAAAACCATGAACAGGAACCTGAAACCACCTTAATTACCTGTTTTTGCTTTAATTCATCTTTTATTCCATAACCTTGTTAACCTGCAGGTGAAAAGTTCGGAGGCATCGCATTTACAAAAGTCATTAATGCAGAGAATGCAGAAATTGATGATATACATGTCATTCGAGATGGTGATGATCTGTTTCTCCTTCAAAATGAGGGTGAAAATGTAATATTGTGAACTGATGATAATAAAAAAGATGATCTCGGTTCTTGAACCACTGCAGACAGTATGTAACCTCGAGGCAACGATAATGATAATGAAATGGTAACAAATATATAACAGTATCAGTTGATTTGGAGGAGGAATTGTGGTGACATCATCTAAAGAAGTGTATCCTCCAGATTCTACCTTTGTTTATTTCTCAAATGCCTCAAAGATCTGCCAGCCCCATTCTCGATATCTGCAATGCATGATATTAGAAAGGAGAAAAAAGAAAGAAGATGCACTCATTCACACTATAGATAATATAAATTTAATAAAAGGGAAGAGAGAGTAGAAACTAAAAGAGCATACTTCTGATCCTGAGTGATACGATACAACACAAACAAGGACTCAACAGTTTCAGGACGCAACAAATTGTGACGATCAGCATGCCTGATTATTATGTCTTTTACATATTTTGAACTCTTATTCCCACCATCAAGACCATCTTCAAAATAATCCTGTTCAAATAAGATCAAGACAGCAGATCATTAACTATCGTAATTACACTATAAGCAAAACGAAGAGTGGTCATACATAGGCAAATAAGCAAATATGATTTGGTGTAAACGCAAATTAAGTCCATCCTATACTGCTTTCAAGAAACAAGTAAACTGAAAACAACCTTAGTATGGAAGTACACAATTTCAGGAGCCAGACCAGTGGAAGTTACTGAGTACATCTCAAAACATGTCTTTGCTAAATCTTCCGCAAGTTTCAAGTTCTCCAAGTCTTCAAATGTAAGAAGGTTGTCTTTCATAGCTTTCTCCTTTGTGAGGCCTTTAGTGGCACCAAGTGCAAGAGTACCAGGCAAAAAACATACCCGGAATATAAAGTTAAATTATTTCACATCAATCAAGGATATTCCGTGGGATCCAACAACAGAGGAAATGCTTTCATGACAGCCAATGATTAATACAGAAATATAGCTTATGCATTCGACTAATGAGAACTAAAAACTATAATAGATTAGAAACACTGGTGAGACTCTTCTGCTCACCAACTGATTCCTTGGACTATTCAACATGATAGTTTTGAAAGGAAACATCCAGTGATTCCAGTATACTGCTTTGAAGTTGTTAGTAAGTAGTAACAGCCTAGCTTTCATGATCAGCTATAGCTGCAATAAATTGAAAATACTCTGGTGGAACTCAGAAACTCTTAATCTCGGAAGTTGCTTCCTTGCATTATTCAGCATCATAGTTTTGGATCGAAACAACCAGTGATCTAAAGAATACTACTGCTTCTAAGGTGCAAGCTAATAGCCAACTAAGAAAGAGTGGGTTTCACTTCATGATATATGCAATTCTTAACGGAAACAGTTTCACAATCTAAACCCAAATTTGTTTAAAACAATATCACCGCTCCTTTCTTCATTTTTTAGGATAACTACACACTCCTTTTTATTAAAACGAAGAAGAAGTGTCCTTTCTTCCTTCTCAGATATTGCTTGAATTAAAGGAATGAGAAATCACTACATACCAGGTGATCCAATTTCGGACTCAAGTAACCGTTGGATCCAACAGGTAATTCCCCCACAAAAACCAATTCACTTGGTACTGATTTCTGAACAAGCATGTATTTAACACCCCTCATTGCTTCCCCGTACATATCATAAAGATATGCGAAGTTACCATCCTGAGTAGTTCTTAGCTGAAGCCACACTTTGCTTAGGTACTCATAATAGCTATCACCTCGAGATCCAAGTCTAATATTGTGTCCACTAAATTCACCAGAATGAGGACTGCATTCCATAACAAGATGATCAAGGGACAATTGACAAAGACTCAACAAAATAAGGACTGCATTTCATACTAGGATCAACTATGATCTCAGAACCAGATAACCATAAATATATACTTATGATGATGACCACAACAATGATGATATGTATAATAAACAATATAGATGGCAGATAAAGCATATTGACATCAGGCTATCATTTTGTCCAAAGAAATTGACATCTGTACACACAAGAATACGTAAGATTTATAGCTCAACAATCTTAAATCTTAAAGGCTCTTGTTGTTCAAATTTATTGAAGTAATAGAAGAGATAAGACAACCAGTTTGAGCACAAACTCAAGTATTCCCTAAAAAATCCTGATGCTGCGTACAATCTTTAAGTATCCTTTGACTTCTTGGCGTTTTTTCCCATTCCAAATCAAATCACATTTCAGAAATGAAGGCATTTTGTTTGGGCATGGTAACTGATGAGCACAGTTTTCCAACTGTCGAAAGCAGTCCAGCATGTATTAACCATTCAAAGAAAGGTAACATGAGAAATCAAATTCCAATGATATAGAGGAAAGCAGTTTATTTTCTACTGTGTGTGATGGCTGAAAGCAGTTTATCCAAGCAGGAGAAAATTTCCATTAACCTAGATCAACATGGTAGAAATCTTGGAAAGACATAACAAAGGATGTAGCTATTTAAACTAGCAGTAACTGGGCTTGGAATGGCAGCAAATCTTCAGTCTTAACAACCATAAGGTACCAATCAAAGCAGATAAATTGTTTTTTACAAAATGAGAGAGAGTGTCAGGGAGAAAGTGGGAGAGAGAGAGAGGTTTTCAGTTGGTCAGTTTTCCGGTGAGGAGTGGACGGTTTTCGTTGACAATCTGAGTAAAAGGGTAACTAGGAAAACTCTTAAGGAAATTTTTCATCAACAGGGGAGTGTTGTTCGTGTCTACATTCCGAATAATTCCAACAAGCCGAATTATAGAAATTATACGTTTGCTTTCGTCCAGTTTGCTAATGAGGATGGGTTGTTGAGGGCGATAGCAAAAATTAATGGTATCTGGATTGATGGTAAGAAAATATCAGTAGGAGTTGCTAAGTACCAGAAGAAGAGACTAAAGCAGGCTGTTAGAAGTAACGACAGTAAGGAAGTTGATAAGTGGGAAAAGGATACGCATCGGAGTAGAAGAGCTGGACCAGAATCTTATAGCCGACTGAGAGATGAGAGATCTTACAAGGAGGCGTTAGCGTCTTTGGATGGAAGGAGAGAAGGTCCGGCGTCTAAAGTGATTTGGGAAGGCCATAAAGACAAGGAAGTAGGGGTGAGGAATTTGTGGGAAATGCATATTCCCCCAGACGAATATGATTGGGTGAAAAGATCAATAACTGGGATCATTAAATCCCATTTTGATCTGGGGACAGTAGTGAAGGGGTTGGCTAGTAAAGGGATCAAGGTCAAGGGAACTAAATGGGGTTATACCTGGAACTCTTGCATTATAACCTTTGGGTCGAAGGAAGAGTTCGAGGAGGCGTGGAAAAACAGAAGGGATGAAGTGTCACTTTGGTTCGACTGGCTTGATCCACTTATGAGTGTAGATGGAGTCCCGATGGCTTTCTGTTCAGTGGAGTTGCATGGAATCCCTTTACTATGTTGTAATGGATCTTTTTTGGAAAAGCTGGTCTCAAGGTGGGGGAAATTGGTGTGTATTCATGAGTCCACGATCAGAAGAGAGGATTTGGCGGTGGCAAGAGCTTTGTTGAGGGTGGCGAGTCCTTATGATATACAGGATTCTGTTACCTTGGGTGCATATGGGAGATCGTATATGGTTAAGATTAGTGTGGGATCGGTCAGTTATAAACAGGAGAGTTTTTTTGCAGAAATTCTTCAGGTGGCCGGAGATGGTGTGTCTAGAGTTGATTCTTCATCGGAAGAGAAAGAAGTCCGGAGTTCAGGTGGAGTAGGTAGCCCACAATTGCCAGCTGAGAATTCTAGGGACACAGTAGACAGATGGTTGGTAGGTGATGTCTGCACAACAGTGGCAGGCGGCAGTGGAAGTAAACATTTAATACTGCAGGAAGGAGAAAGTCAACCTAGTGGTGCTAAGGTGTCAGGTTTTTCTGCAGAAGATTTGAATTTTAAAGAGGACTATAGGGGCCTTGGTCTAAGGAATGTCTCTATGAATGAATTTGAAGAAGCCCATTTAGAGGGCTCAAGTGAGTCCAATACAAATATCTACAGAATAGTACCTTCTGGGCCAGCTGTTAATTTATTAAAACTGGGATATGGTAACCGTTTGGAGTCTCGGGTGGAATTTGCAGGTTCTCAGCAGCAATCTGATTCAGATAAAATAAAGGTGCAGAATTGGGCTAATGTCTCGGCAGACTTAAATCCAAATTTGTTGCCTGCTGGGTCTTCACAATCTAACAGGGAGTATGATTCACCAGCTAATAATCTAATTCCAGGGGGGCATGATGTTAAATTAAGTAGGATGGAGGTTCAAGGAGAGTTTCAGCATTCTGTTTTGGTAGACTCAAAAATGCAGAATTCGAATACTGATTTGTCAGGTTACAATCATATTTCGATTGAGGGTGGGTTCACGGATAGAGTACAGTCTCAATCTGAAGGGATCTCAAATAAGCCAAATAAGGATCTGTTAGAGGAAGTAGTAGTCTTGGAAAAGGACGATTGTAGGGGGGTTGGAACTGAACTGATTAGGGATAGAGACAGATCGTTGTTCCAGCATAGAAGAACATTTTGTCCCAAAAGTTTGCCCATAGAGAGGAGGAGAATGGCCAGCTATAAAAGACATTATACCAGGTCGAGGGTGAGAATTAACTGGTTTGAGAATAAACACAAAGGTATTCCGGTGAGAAAGGATTTGCAGCCTCCTTCAATAAATATGGAAGGTGGAAGGGAAGTGATTTTAAATGGTGCAGCTGATGATCAGAACCCTTATGTGGCACCAACTAATTGTAATAGTTCTTCGGAGGTCTTGGCAGTAGTTCCTTTCTCTGCTGTAGGGTCAGGAAGGTCTAAAAGAAGGGAGAGAAGAGTTTTAACAAGGGAAGCAGTTGATATGGTTAATTCTCCTTTAGTTTTTACTCCTCAGTTCTCGAAGGCGGTTGAGGAAGCGATGGTTACATGGGAAGTATGTAAAGTTCTAGGAATTTCTTTCAAAGATGGGAAGAAGGCTTTTTTGGACAAAATTATCAACCTTGAAGAGGGTTCGGCTGAGAGTAGGGAACAGGGGAAGTCAGGGGTTTAGTCTCTATTTCTCTGGAGACTAGCTATAAGGATTTGGTGTAGATCTTCTTGTTATGATAAATGTCAACATTATTTCTTGGAATGTAAGGGGTCTTGGTAAAAAGGAAAAGTCAAGAGTTGTAGCTAATTTGGTGAAGAAGAATAAGCCGAACTTGATTCTAATTCAAGAAACAAAACTAGAATCTGTTTCTTTGGCTCTTAGAAGAAGGATAGGGGGGAGATTCCTTA